TGCATCCATTCAACTATTGGATCGTTGCCTAGTTTTTCGATGATGAGTTTAGTGATGAGTTTAGAGTCTGACATGCGATCGGAGGCCTTAGAGAAGTCTAAAAGATTACGTCAATTTGTGATTGTTTGTTTATTGCCAGCCAAAGGTCGTGTATAGCTTCTGTGAGTTGAGTGACTGTAGATAGCCATTTCAGAACCCATGATGAGACAATGAGATGAGGTTGTTTTCTTCTACATACTAAGTTATTAATTTTAAGATAATGTGCTCAAGTATTTTGCAACTGATGCACGTTGAAGAAATCGGCCGGGAGCTGGACGGGACAGAAGTGTAACCCTTGATTTGAGCACTGATACAACTTTCACGATTTTCCAGTCCGTCGGCAGAGGACAATCACCAATTGACTTTTTAAATAAAAGGTGAAGGTACCTGCTAATGGTTTCAGCATAGTGTTTAAAAAAGGCATTCGAGATATCGTCTGGGCCACAACTTTTCTTTTTATCAAGATCTGAGAGCAGTGAAAATAAGCCGGGTGCTGTAATATTCAATGATGGAAGCGATCTGCCTTGGGCAATATGACGGGAACCCGGTTTAATGTTTAGGCTATTATCAGTGCTAAGAACTGAGTTAAAGTATGAATTGAAATTATTCGCCTTTATCTTGCCATCTTCAGCTGCAAATGCTGATAGTGTAGTCCGTTTTATGCCTATGTAGCGCAAGAGTTTATGGGGTGCGCTCCTTATAAACTTTTGTACAGTGTGTTCACAAAAGTGCTGTTTCGCATCTCGTACCTTTCCTTTTAAAGTGGTGGTTAGCGTTGCTATTTGAGAGCTAACACTTTCTAGCGTTTTGTTAGTCATTTTTGCATGCTTTATTTTGCATTTGAGGTGAATAATGTCACGGGTAATCCCATTGTGACTCCTTAAAACCTGTTTTCACTTGGGGATAATATACAGTGCATGATATGATGTTTAAACTGTACCCATCTATGCTTGAATCTTTATCTGCACAGCTTGAATCTTTATCTGCAAATCGGTATACTCATGGGACAAGTAGGTGATTATTGCCGCATCATTTGCTTTGTTAAAAGAGAGTGCATATTTTAGTGAGCCAGAGTGTCGAAACCGCCAAAGGTTACGCAGAACTATTCTGTAATCCGATATATCGTCGACTGTTTTAACACTTGCGCCATCGGTGGAAAAATGATCACTTACAAATCCAAAATCTAAACTGAGTGCGATTCTCCTTGCATTTCTGTATTTTCAAGAGAAAGCTGAGATCGATTGAAAGCAAATAAGAAGTCAATCACAATATTGTTAGACAAAGGACTTGGACTTGATAAGAACTAATTTACATCAGGTAGGTTGAAGTCGCCCGCCATGATAATCCTGCCACCGAGCATGTGCAAATTCTTGTAATCCAGGAGAGGATTTAGGTACATTGCATCGGCATTGAGAGGTCTGTAAACGGTGCCAACGTACATGAATCCATTGTTTAAGAAAAGGTTGCACTAAATTGCTTTAACACCATTCACGCCGGGCATGACCGTGTAGGGTAAGCGATTCCCTTTCGCAAAGAAAGTGCTACTCCTCCACCTCTAGTGTTTCTATCTTTGTGGACAATTGTGCAACTTGGTGGCACGATTTTATGGTCACATATATTTGAGTGTAGCCACATTTCACTCACAGTAACAATATCAGGTTTTAGAGCCAATAAAACAGCTTCAAGTTGGTCTGCTTTTTTTTGCAAGGCTTTGCACATTGACATTTAAAAGAGTTATGGGCGTGTCGTCGAAGAGACTGGGCTGTTAATGGTAGCTCCTCGTTTTTTTTTTTTTCATTTCAATATTTTTGTTGCGTTCATCCCAAGTGAAAAGACGACCGTTCATCTGAACTTTGTCATAAATAAGCCTTATTCTTTCCGCTCTACCACGGATTTTTTTTGTGATATTTCACATTTTTCTTCTAGTTTCACGCACACCAGACGAGTAGTCTTCGCTTATTGAATAACAGCTCCCTTTCAGTTTGTGGTTGCTCCTCGTTTTTTTTTTTTTTCATTTCAATATTTTTGCTGCGTTCATCCCAAGTGAAAAGGCGACCATTGATCTGAACTTTGTCATAAATAAGCCTTATCCTTTCCCCTCTACCACGGATTTCTTTCGTGATATTCCACATTTTTCTTCTAGTTTTACGCACACCAGACGAGTAGTCTTCACTTATTGAATAACAGCTCCCTTTCAGTTTGGAACAAGACTGGAGTGTTTTGACCTTGTCGCGATAATCAAGCAACTCAAGAATCATTGGCCTGTTTTCTGATTCCTCTTTTTCAGTTCTTCCAGGTCGGTGGATTAGTTCAATACCTGCAGTTGTTGTGTCTAGAGTATATGCAAATATTGTTTTTTATACAAAGTTATGAAGTTTTTGAAATGACTCATTTTGTTGTTCCTCAACTTCGTAGACAATCAGGTTTGTCTAAAGACTTCTGTTTTCTAGTTCCTCGATTTTTTTTCATGCCTTAGATGTTTTTTAATTCTGCTATTCGCTTTATGCAATCAGAAACTTGCTTTTCCAATTCACTATTTTTTTCAAGCTTATTATCGATTGCACTGAGCTTTTGATTTGTGACAGATTTTTCTTTTTCAATTTCCTTTATATTGTCCACGATTGCCTATAGTTGCTTAGACCAATCGCCATCTGCTGGATTAGTTTTTATGTCGCCGCTCAGTACCAACAGGAGGTGGAGATAATTAGTCATGTTAGTAATCACTCTGCACGGTTACCATATGCGTGGCAGCAAAGTTAGGCAAACGTTATTGCTATGGTAACACTTTCTATATCGTTTGCTCACCTTTATAAAAAACTTGAACGAGTTTGTAACCCGCATCAAGGCATTGCCGCCATGCCAACTGTCGAGTGCTGCGCTGAAGAGCTGTTTTATAGTCCCATTGACAGATACATCCATCAGCGCCCCAAGTGGGTCCGATGACATCATCTTCGCTCCTTCGAGAATGATGTTTAGCCAATGAAAAATGATGAGCGTCAGCTTATTTTGATCGCTGGTCGAGAACATGGCTGGCAATATTGGGCCCTTTTCGATTTGTGGCAGCCCCGCTGGCACTAGCAAAAATCTAAGCTGCTCCTGTACAAAAAACATAATCGGGTTTGTAGACAGCATCGTGGCATCGCCGCCACGCCCATATATTTTACGCGTTTCTTGTGTTTGACCCTTCGTGTGGAGAGTCCTTGCATACAGAGGAAGCCCACAACATGCTTGGAATAGCTTTGAAATTTTTGGCACTACCCCTTTAACGTAGGGCAAGTGGTGTCTTTTTTTTTTTTAACTGTGTACTCCATCAGGGCTGGGGAAGGCAGTCTTTTCTCATTTTCGGTTGTCCGCAGTGGCCTGCTAATACTATGAGGGCAGGTATGCAATCAATAAAGCGCATCGTTTCTATGCGGGAGAGGATACGCAATTTCTTGGTAATATGGCTGAGATTGGGGTCGTAAACACAGAATCTCCAGCTGTAGCCTATCTTTTATCAAGTACAATTTGAGAGAATCAGGAACTTGAGGAGGGTTTGGTTATTTTCTTATGAATGATTTTATCCACTTCCCATAGTAGAATAAGCACACTCCAGGGTTGAGACAAGGTATGCAGTAGTCTGTTAATGGGTCTAGCATCACTGGTGTGTATTTCATAGGCTACGACGACTGCTTTTACCAAGTTACAGTCATTGAAGTCAAAGATGCCCTGGTAGGAAACGAGAATGCGGCTGAAAGGAGAGACTCGTTCTGATGTGATCTGGTTGAATATCACATTCGTGAAGTGGTCGCAGAAGGAACGTGACCAGAATGGCAGCAGTGGAGAATCGGTGGTCTTGGTGGAAACTGTGTAATTGGCTAGTCATGCCAGTTGCACATGTGATATGCCACATGGATAAACTTATGTCAAGAAACCAAACTGAAATTGAGGACAGGAAATTAAGTTTGATTGCATGTCACCACCATGTTGGGGAGCACAACAAAGCTGGTCAAGATAACATGAAGACAGTAATATAATCACCACTTTGTACTGGTGGGAATAACAAAAGAAGAATGTGAACAATGGCTTGTGGAGGAAGTCCTTGCTATCTCTACCTGTAAGTTTCTGTATTCTGCTAAAAGAAAAATTTGGATGGGGTGCCTCCTGTTTGTCTACCGTTCATTCTGTTGTCTCTGCTGCTTTTTATGCTGACTCAGGACAGGCTCTGAAAATGCTCAAGCGAAAAGTAATCAAGCCACGCATGATTACTTTTTTTCTGCTCGCATGGGAGAAAGCATTGGTGCTCCTGTGAATCTCAACGGGTCTGCTCACAATGTCTTGAGAACTTGTCAACTATGCTGACTCAAAGCAAAAAGGTGCTGAGGTTGCCGTGATCTCCTCCTCTTGTACAATGAGCTAACCGAACAGGTCTACCCAGGACACAAAACCTTCCCCCCTCCACATGGTAAACTAAACGAAGTGCAGGACAGTATGCTAGGGCTATTAGTACAAACAAGAACATACCCAAACCTGCTGGTAATTGACAACGTTTATCCATTTATTCCCACAACATGCAATAAGTCCCACGGCACCATATATCTCAATCATATGCTATGGTGTTGTTCGGCATTGTGCATCGACAAGGTGAATACTGAAAAACGGTGGAAAAAAGCTCAAGGCAGTCCTACATTAGAGGGACAATTGTGGGCAGTCCAACGAGCCCGCGAAGTGACTGAAAGTCAAGGTATTTCGGTCCAATTGTAAGAGCGGCCCACTTCGGGCTAGGACACTAGCGTGACTTATTGGAAATTAATCCATCCATCCAATTAATAAGCCAATTAAGAACTTCATTGTTAGCAGAATGCATTTATTTAAAAAAGAAACTTAGCTGCTTCAGAAGTGCTCACTCCTGAGCGCAAAGGTTCATCTAGCAGCTCTGTGTTTCCCCAGTTTTAAAAATAATGATGCTTCTGTTGCTGCAGCCCTGAGGTGACCATTGCTCTCTCGGCGGTCGAGGCGGTCGTCGAAGTTCTGGGTACTAGCATCACTTCTCTCACTGCGGTGCGTATAATTTTGTCGGAAATACAATACAGACCATGTATAACGTAACCGCTTTCAGTGCAAGACAGGTTACATTGCTGTCTGTTTTGACTCCCATTTAGCCTCATATGGAACTCCATAGAAAGGAAAATAAGACCTCATGTACACGTATATCACTTATTTTGCAGTCCCCCAAGATGAAAAACTGGTTATAATGTGATTGCCAGAAAATTTTTGTGACAAATGCAGTAGCGAGTGCACGTCTTAAAAGAGGCGCGCTGGGTGTGCCCCTGAGGAGCGAGCGATAGGGGTCATTATGGAGGAGTAAGGGATACAGAGTGAACGATCAACGGGCAGAAGGAGCGAAAAAGAAAAAAAAAACATGGCATGCTGCGAGTGGTTGGTGAGGGGAAGAAGGGCAGTTAGTTGCTTAGGCAATTGCTAAGCATTTGTACCGGTGCCAACGCAGCTACAGTGTAGTTAAGTCGATAGCATGGCTCTGGCCGCTTGCTGCCAGCCGCAAGTGGTTCAACATGACACGAGCGATTCCTTCCTCATCAACTGCGCTAAAGAATTTCCTGTCTGGAAAAGCATCATTGTTACCGAGCTCACTACAGATATTGTGTTTTCTATTTTATTCATAAATTTGAAAATATTTTTGACTTTATGACTGGAGCTTTCGCGTTTGCTGCCAGCTCTCGGCTTTACATCAGCTTTGTGGGTTTTTGTCATTGTTGATTGCCTGGCTGCAAATGCAATCTTTCTATATTGCATGCTGTTCTTGGTTCAGTGCTTGAGTGCTATTTATTCGACGTTATGTCTTGGCCAAACTTCTCACAACCAGAGTTATCCAATCATATGAGTTGCGAAACTACGTTCCGAAACCTGGACACGTGCTTGGCTGACCTTGCAGGAGTGAGCTGACTGTCGCGCCATCTGGAAGCGACAATACAAAACACTGGGTTGTCACCTGTGCATGCGCTTTTTTTTAGGCTGCTCAACGCTGCACCCAACACTGGCGTTGTCGCCTCAATGGCCCTGGCTTGCATGGCGCCCACCGCCCCTGTCAGCTGTTTCCGCTCTGAAAAGGCGTAATCAAAGCCGTGTCAAAGCGTCTAGTTTCATTTTGTCGATGGTGGTGCTTGCGATTTCGTGCTACAATGGTTTTAACGCTGTGCCCTGATTATTCATTACTCCTCGTTTGAAAGTGTGCGCTCGAGACAGATTGCTTGCGGGAAGTTTGAGATGACAAATCCTCTTAGCGTTCCGCTGTGCAGTTCACGATGTGTCTCACAGACACGGTGTGAATGATGGTCGCACAAACAAGACACTGATATGGTAGAGTGCGAACTAAAGCACAACAGTACTGATCAGTACTTACCACAAATTGGCCGCTTTGCTTTGTGCGGAGTGGTTGAATTCCAATAATCGCGAAACCAATGAAACAGGCTGAAATACCATATCATCATAGGGTATCCCTAGCACGATGACAAGAAAGTGGGAACATTGAACATTCCTATTTACTTGTAACTAGCACTGCAAGCACACTTTTTTCATGTGCGATGTTCGTGGAGTTTTTCCAAAGGCACCGGCCTTTGTTGCTCGGGCAACGTCGTCTGCTGTCATTGACAGACTTACAGTTTCGATCCACCTGGATCATTGCTGCGCCCCACTTGCTTCACGCCTTACCACTCGTTATTTTGACGGTATGTAAACATCGTGGGCTCTCCACATGGATCTGGTAAACTATCGACTTCACTACACCATTCATTTGGTTGTGCGGTCAATGAAATTGAGTGGCGACGGATGCGGTGACAGAAGTATTGCAAAAAGCAGGTTCATCGCACGAACACGCTGCCTATAGCCACGTTACTTCTAGCGCAATCCGGGAAACATGAAAAAAAAAAACAGAACACCAAGAGAAAAAGGAGCTCCTCTGTCCTTTATCCTGTCTTCACCACTGCGTAGAAGTAACATGTTCTGCACACTGAGCCACCAACTCACCTGAAACACAGAGCAGGTCGTGCCTAATAACAAGTTATAGGTGCTTCCATGCTGTTTGGCAGAATGTGGCGGTGCTCACAATCCTGCTAAACGCAAAAACACAGACTATTGCGTGTTTTAGTTATTTTTACTGTAAAAGGATGGCGCGACAGTCTGCTCAATCCCACTATTTTGGCCAATGTCGTGTCCAGATTTTGATGCATGGAGCTTATTGGGAGTTTTGCAACTCATATGATTGAATAACTCTGCTCACAACAGTATACCGAACGCAAGGTTAGGCCTAATTAGTGTCATTGCATTTCAGTTGCATTCGTGTGCTACGTAAGTTGCGGTTTGGTACGGAATAAATGAAACTCCTTGTGGTGGCTGCTCTTGAAGGGAAGGGATGCATATCGTTAATGAAAATGAGGATGGCATGTGTGACACTTGAATGGTGGTTCACAATTTGATTGCAATATCTTGAAATGGGGTGCACACACCCGTAAAACCAAACAATTGGGTCTTTCAGCACTGCAAAGTTCAGATGTGATTCGACGTAGTTTCTGTGTAATGCACCTAATTGAGGCCGTGTGAAAAGTAGTCAGTGAATTTTTGTGGTGGGGCTTTTTTTTGTTCGACCTCCCTATCGCATTCATTTCGTTGGCAACATGGGTATTTGAACAATAAATTTTTCAAACTTTTGGAACTTTAAGTGGTTGTAAGCACCTGGCATCACATGCTTCGATTCTCAAACACGTGAGGCTGCATGCGCCATACGTTTGCACAAGTGCGGTTCTTGAAAAAGGTAGTTTTGGTTATAGTGTGGGTATTTACGACTCTTGACACTTACGTTATAAGTGGTCTATATTGTACATGGCAAAGTGTTTCTACAGTAGGTCATTTCTTAATTTGTGTTGATAGATAATTTATAGACTGGTTTCAGTTTGTATGTGTTTGAACGTGAAAGACAATTTTGAATTTGAATCATCCGATGATTATTTTAAAGAATGCTTTTCACGCCAGCGTATTTGTGGAAAGAAGTTGCAATGCCCTCACCTCACTGTGTCTCCACATATTCAAGAGAATGTGACTGTCAGTGAGGAAAGCAGATGGCACACACAAAGTGACTAGCCATGTCTTTGCTGCTTCAGATTGCGTGGAGGGTTAGGAGAGTCGAGTTGGTGCATAGCGCTCTGTTCGCCGGGGAGTGACACTTCTGTTGGGCTCAGTTGCCACCTACATTTTATTTAAGGAGTAAGCTTCAGACCACAAAAAAATAGCAGAGACAAGCAGTAGCGCTTACTAACAACCACTTTATTCTACTTGCAATAAATATATACGTCATAACTACAAACCTTGCATGCACACATGTAACAAGATGTGTTGAATACGTGGATCTGTAGCAAAGCTCTCATGCATGAAATCATATTCTGAGGGGTACAAAGATGTAGACCTATCACACTTACAATCAGCTGCCTCTTTGCATCTGCCGAGAATCAATGTCTCAAGAAATAGCAGAGAACAGTCGTAGCAGGAGTTAGATGAACAACAAAATGTGCTCCTTTGTCAACATTGTTCTTAACTTTATGCCCATGTTTCTCAAGTCGCTCATTCTTACCTGCCAACTTTTCCGAATCATCCGGGAGGCTCCCGAATTTTGACCTAATCTCCAAATTGTACAACTGTATCTCGAATCTCCTGAAAAGTGGTCGCCGCAGCAGAGGTGTTTTTTTTTTATATGTAAGCCTTTCCTGCTGCAACAGTTGCGGGGATGCGGAAAAGTACTCGTCTCTACACTTTTGGTTCACTGCAACCGTACCGCGCAGCATGTGCTGTTCTGGGCACATATAGTATCTGGGCAAAGACCGGCAGCCGCAGGATGCGCTTACCACTGTATTAAAAGAATGCTAGAGAAAGGTACCAAAATTTTTGCACCTGTCTTGGTCTCCAAATTTTGTACACTAGGCTTGTAGGTGCTTTGTGTCTTAGTAGAAAGGTGACAAGTACAGATTCTGTACAATGTGCATCTCTGATTGTTTCACACGATGGCAAGGCCATCTTACAATTCACATCACTTCACAGAAGCATCAGAAGTATGTTCATGTTGTGGAAGGGTAGGGTAACATCAGAAGTTTCTTCCAAAGGAGCTTCCAAGGCAGTGCAATCCGGGCAGAATGCCTATTCACGGGATTTCTTGTGGAACGCAATTCGCCACTAAATGTTAGGTATCACGCTGGGGGGTTGTTTCGAAAATGTCCCCGAAGCGGTACAGGTGGAGATGTACACTTGTCATTGTTGAAGAAATGGCTGCAGATGCCAAACACACAATGTTGGACATTCTTCTGAAACGCCATGCTTTTACAATTGCATTGGATGGAAGCAACGACAGCAGAAAATATCTCAGTCCCAGTAATTTTTTATATGCATTGAGACTGTGAGATTAATTACTAAACAAAAGTTCTTATGTTGTTTGGAATAAGTAAAAATTCATCTCAACCAAGTGTAAAGTTGGGGTAGTTTGCTAGGTAAGCATTCTGTGTTTAATATTTCCTAATTATAGAATCTTCCAAGGGTCTCAGCAAGTTCTCGAATGTTCTCAGCTGCCCTATTATTTGAACAAAGCTCCCTTCTATTCAGTACTCTAGGGAAACATACTCCCTCATTGGCATACCTGTGCTGCAGACATGCACACAGTTGCTGCAGGTGGAAGAGTTCTTGTCGGTGGCTGCCCCTTTTGGTCTGCTGCAGTTCACTCAGCCCAGTGTGGTTCGAGACATTCTCAGGGACAAGGAGCTGTCTGCACCGGCCGATGGTGTCTCCAAGGTATTATACCTTTTATTCTCACTAGCAGCCTCACCTTAACGCCCCGCCACGGTGGTCTAGTGACTAAGGTACTCGGCTACTGACCCGCAGGTCGCAGGATCGAATCCCGGCTGCGACGGCTGCATTTCCGATGGAGGCGGAAATGTTGTAGGCCCGTGTGCTCAGATTTGGGTGCACGTTAAAGAACCCCAGGTGGTCGAAATTTCCGAAGTCCTCCGCTACGGCGTCTCTCATAATCATATGGTGGTCTTGGGACGTTAAACCCCACATATCAATCATCAAATCAATCAGCCCCAGCTTACCTTTTTAAAAGAGTACCGGCATGATTTTGAGACATTGCGAAGCTCCTCATCTATCACACTAACTGATAACTACCGCTGCAGTTCAGTGTTCCACGCTATGACAAAGCTTGGCATGTGCACATGCGCTAAGAAAATTGTAGCGCAACCGCGGAGGTGGGTGAAAAAAAATGAGACCCGTGAGTTAGCTGTACTTCTATAACATAATTGATGAGAAGGTGGCTTTCCTTAAAGCTGCGCAGTTGCAGTAAAGTATGCATGACTTTTTTTTTTGGTCATCTTTAGGGCCTGTGCTGTGTTGTTAATCTTTTTACTATCCATATATATCTGGAATTTTACATTCAGTTGATAGACGGTGTTTGTGTCGTCTTCTCTGTATGTTTCGTTTGTGCTGGCAGTCATAACCTCCCTCTCCTTTCAATTTTTTTCCACTTTTAAAAGCGTATATATTTGCTCTCCAAAAATAAATGCACTTGCTGGTAGTCAGCGCTAGTCCTGTCTCATCTATCTCGTCCTTGTTATTTTCTTATGTTTAATCAACAAGCTCAAGTTCACAATATTGTCAAGTGCATTTCTGGTTCATCAAGCTCTGTTTCCACTTTCACCTCCTTTGATCCATCTGCGTGTTCTGCCCTCCTGGTACATGCCACGTGAAATGCCCGGCTACTTTTCTACGCCATGAAAAATTCATGCCTGCCTACAACGCTCGCCCAGCTAGTTGGCTTCTTTCAGCCATATAAGGGCTTTGTGCCTATGCGGAATACTGAAGTCTGAAACCCGGAGGCAGATTGAACTAATAATAAAAGGCCTCTTCGCATGCTCTCAATGAACCTCATCTGAGCCAAACATCTTCACTTCAAAGAGCACCTGAGAACAGCTTCACAAATGAGTGAGCTCCTCTGGTGTAACATCCTCTGCAACCTCTTGAAGAAGTCTAGGTCGCCTTGCCAGCTGCAGACTGTACTGAAGATAGGGGATGGGGCTCTCTCAAAAAAGAAATAGGTCTTGGAGCTAGGTCCAGAATTTTGGTCGCCCTAAAGGTCGACAAAACTGAGCTACTAGCACTCGGCCGCAGTGCTGCTTGATGGGCGTCCCTTGTGCTAAGCGATCGCATTGTTCTCAAGTGTGTAGAGGCCGTTCCGTCTAAACTAAGGGGTATTAAGAGACAACCTCTGGCGAGTGTTGTGCAGTCTCTTCACAAGGACAACTTCAAGTCACTTCAATCTGACAAAGAGGGCAATTTTATGGTTCTGGAATTTAACATGTACTGCCAAAAGACTTACAAAGCTCTGCAAAATGACTTCTGAGAGGCAAAGGATTTCCATCCTGAGAAAGCCAAGGGAAAGGCTCTTTAAAAATTCACAAAAGTTGGCTGTTCGAAGCAGTCAGCTTTCGTGAAAGGCTCCAAGGAACTGTGCCTTTTAGCATAAACATTGACGCATCAACATTGTTCACCTTTCCGAGCTATTGTTTCTGATGCGGGAACCTGGCAGAAATGTCTGGGAACATACCTACTGAAGCGCCTGAACTTACTTGAAGTGAAGGACCCCTCCATCATTCGGAAACCATCAGACATATCGCAGTACCTGCTTGACACACGCCCACTAGGAGTACAACGTTTTTTCAGTAGACATTAAGGACCTTTTAAGGGGGGAAGCTTATAGTTTTATCCTGTGACTAGTCTTGCATAACTGAGAGAAGAAGAGACGAGAAAGAAAAGAGGGCAAAAAAAATTGATAACCATTTCTTGTCTCATTTCCTAAATGGTGTTACTCTGCTACTACTCTCCAAAGTACCGCTACTCTTCGATTGGCTGCTGCGTGCCTTACTTTCCGATTGGCTGCTGTGCATGCTTTGCCAACGAGTGCCTCTCTCAGTCTTCTGGATAGTCGCTGTACGTGGCGGATCGTTGGTGAAGCATGATGGACGGAGCAGAGCGGCAAGTGTGTTGAAGACGCTTGCGCTCGGCTTCCTTGGCTCGCGTATCGTCAGTGTTACCCGCGCGCCGTCTGCATTCTTGAACATGATGGGATGCATGGGCGCATGCACGGACGGACGGACACACAGACGAATGCACGGACGGACGCCTCACCCCACTCATCATCATTCACTTCGTGGATATGCTGCGATTTTTTTTATTTACTACCCTAGGCAGCTCCTGCTGATGCTGCCCATGAAGGCATCAAAGTGTATGGTGCAACAGAATGTGGTCGGCACAAGCGTTGCCAGGTTCATGGATCTGCTGTAGCTCTACATTTTCTTTGCAGTCATTACACAAGACGGTGTCCTGTACGTGCAGTGATATGGTGTGTGCATCGGATCCTGCACAGCCTCAATCCTAAGTGACCGGCTTCCAGCTCATTACGACACGAAGCTGCAAGAAAGCATTGGAGAATTTGGTGTCTTCATGTATGGGGACAATTTTCTGGTGTTCGTCTGGGCGACTCCTAAAAAGACCATGTTTACAGGGGTTGCAGCGCAAGCACGAAAGTGCTGGAAAAAAAAAGAAGCAAAGAACGGAAGGCGAGGGATTGAAGGCACGGGCTGTTGCTCTTTGCCTTCGGTTCGTCACTTTTCTTGCAGCACTTCTGTGCTTGCACTGCAACCCCTATTAATATTGAATTCAATCATTTAGGCCAAATAGCCGTTCTTCCTGAAAAGACTACTAAAAAGATCGACAAGATTTTCGCCCACTTCTCGACATGCTCCTCCAAGTTCTCAATCAATAAGAAGCTCCATGCTAATGGTCAAATGTTTCCTTGACCCCAAGTTTTACTTTGGTGCAGCGCACATTTTCTGGCAGTATGTGGCTTGCACAGAAAAGGGCCTTCTTCCATTCATTTCTCATCATTCCAAGCTTGTCAAGCATGCTATTGTGCTGTCTGCAATGAAAGATGCCTCAATTAGGTCGTGCTGTCATCAAGCTGCAACAAGCTTTTCTCACCAAGTGGAGTGATTGAAGATGATAGGATTTCCCAAACACTTTTTACCTGGTTTAGCCGAAGTCATCCTGAGGGAGCTGTGGCGATATTCGACCACACCCCAGCCATTCAACAAATGGGTGAAATTTTTGGTGATACACTATTTATATGTAGTATCCCTATCTATCTATATGTAGTAGTATCTATATGTAGATATATATCTATATATGTAGTAGTATTAAGAAAGCTTCCACAGGCACCAGTCGGTGTTAATGTCGTCTCTTTGGCCCCTGAGTACTTCAAGTCAGAACAACTCAAGTACGGCAAGTCAGAAGTGCAAGAAGAATCATGCCACTTGCTTTGTCACGTGCAAGGCGGGTGTTATCTATGAGGTTCGCACAGCCTGTGGTAGCACCTACATTAAACAGACCAGTCGCTGTGTTGACGATCGCCTGCTTGAACATTCTAATGACATCAGAACCAAAACAGGTAGCAATCTGGAAATTCATTGGGCTGACTGCGGACACACCCCAAGCTTTCACCAGACTCGCATTATGCACCGGTACGTGATACATGGAGTCTTTGCCATCCATGTTGCAGGTCATTCATATAGTATCAGCTCCGCATATATCACATTATATCTGACAGAGATTTACTATATCTGCAGCTGAACGGCTTGTATGACAAAATGATCTGTGCCTGTGCTAGGAAAATTCTTTGGCTCCCCTCCAAAAGGGTATACATTTACACTCCAAAAATAAACACAGTTGGTTGTCAGCACTAGTTCTCTTTGATCTGTTTCGTCCTTGTTGTTTTTGGGCTGTTTTTTTACTATGTACATTTTGTTCTTTTCCTTTGCATGTAGTGTTAATGCCCTCCTTGCACTGCACTAGTAAACACATGATATAACATATTTGAGTTAGATTTATAATTTTTCCTCCCCTAGCATCCATAAGATTACACCGCCATAGTGGACATTATCATGATGAATCGTCAACACAATTCACCAGATTTGTAAACTCTGCATCCCGGATGTGGTCGAAATCGCTTTCGGAGTTACTGGATGTCAATTCACTCTTCATTGTTTACATGCAACATGTACAATAAAAACAACCCACAGAGCGTCATGAGAACGTCAAGAGTCACCTTTTCCTTTCATCTGTTTATCTGTTGTCTTCGAATTTCGTGAGCATATATATGTACGCTCCTCAAAATAAAGATTTTGTTGGAAGTAAGCGCTCCCTTCTGTCCCTTCCCTTGTCCTATGTTTCTAAACGCGCTACGTCGATCAACTATGTCTTACCAACATGCCCAACTTTATACTCTAGTCACCTTTTCCTTTAGACCTGAAACGCACTGTGTTTACGCATCCATGTGACACCATTTCCTCAGTATCGAAATTGAAGATGGTTTTTTCATAGAAGTAACGTTAAAGATATATTTAATGTGTTCCAAGCAAGCATGATACACATTATAAGATTCATGGCACCAGCACCTTTATCAAAAGCAACTATATAAAAATTTCAGAAGTTCATGTCAATACTCCTTTAAGTGACATTCTGCATGCCCCTGACAAAGGACAGGAAGGCTTGCTACTTGTTGGACATCATCATCACTGGCGGAGGCCTTGTTTTCGAGGAGAACCTGGTGCACCTCTCCAGCAGTTGTTTCAACCGAGCTGCTTGCTCTCATTTTTGATATCTCCGGTGGTTGCAGCAGCTAAACATACGGCATATCGCTCTGTGCTGCATAGGGGTAGCAACAATTTGATATTACTATG